GGGACTGCTGTGTAGGGACCACTGCATCGGAAAGGTTATGAGTCCAGGATCCAGCTTGCAATAAAGATTCTTGTGTGATTGCATCAGATTCAGCTCCCAGAGGTCTATTGTGATCCCATGAATCTGACATTACATTCATAACCTAAGAAGAGCCAAGGGAAGGAGTTTACTCCAATCTAAATGTAATTCAAGGGATTGTTTAGTGAGAATGTTCTTCAAGGTCCAAAGGGTGGGTATGTTGCACCTTGCCAGAGTGAAGCCAGATTTAAAGTTAGGTAGTCAGTGTAGTTAGGTAAATCGGGTCTAATACCAAGTGAAATCTAAAATGGAGGCCATGCTGAGAATGATTCTGGGAAACGCAGGACAACTCATGGAATGTTAATGAAGTCCCGGAAAGGCCCTAGGCCAAAGTCCACCCCATAACAGCCCCCAACAGATTTGGAGATAGCCCATCCCAAAGAAGTGATAATGAAGTCCTTCCTGCCCAGATTATTTGTTTGGCCTACCTGTGTCCCAACCCTTCCCCCTTACATTCCATCACTAAAACTATAAAAAGGGGAGACAACCGCACTTCCACAGATTCCACCTCTTGGGTCCCCTTCTTCCTCTGGGGGGAAGTCTTTTCTGCTCTCCTTTAATAAACTTCTATTTTCTACTCTGACCTTGCCTCCTCGTGCTCTCTGGTGTTATTCTTCAACATTGGGGAAGCAAGGACTCGTCACCAGTCAACAGCGGTAACAAGAGGACTGGGGATGGTAGGGGATATGAAAATCCAGGAGATGTTAAGTGCCTTAGAATCAGATGGTGAAACATGGGAAGTAAATTCAGAACCATTATCAGACTGGAGAGAGGAAGGGAGGCCAAATCAGGGAAGAATGTGTTCAGCGAGGATGTTGGCCACCATAGGGGGATATTTATTGATGGTAGGAAAAGCCTTGACACATCTTGAGAAGGTGTCAATGAGTACCAAGAGAAATTTGTACCACTTGATTGGGGGCATATGGGTGAGGTCCAGCTGCCAATCAGAGCMAGGGAGATGTCCTCTTGCCTGGTGTAAAGGGAAGGCAGGTGGGCAGAGATTGGAGGTGGGATTGATTTTTTGGCAGATTTTGCAGGAGGCAGAGGGGGCAGAGAGAAATTGTAGGTCCTCTGGATAGAGGTTAAGGTGGGAAGTGAGAAATTGTTTTAAAGATGTGGTGTTAGGGTGAAAGAGGTTGTGAAGGAAGGTAAGTATCTATTCAGTGTCAGGTGGGGAAGAGTCCATGAGGGGGACTAGCAAGGCAGAGAATTTGTAGGTGGAGTAGGCTGTCAGAGGGCAGCAGCCCTGGCCTCAGAGTCTGCCTTGTTGCCAAGTGTCACAAAGTTGGTTCTGTCTGATAGGATTTATAATGCGAGAATCCAAAGGCAGTGGGAAGCTTTGAAGTCTGAAGAAGATCAGAGATAAAGAGGGCATTAGTAATTGAAGTTTCCTTGGTGGTAAAGAATCTGCACTCCTTCCAAATAGCAGAGTGGGAGAGAAGTATGTGGAAAGCGTGTTTAGAGTCAGTGAAGACATTGAGGGAGGCTCCCTTTGCCAAATTGAAGGCTCTGATGAGGGCAACAAGTTCAGCCTGCTGATTGGATGTATTATTGGGGAGGAGAGCCGCTTCCACAACTGAGGTTAGAGAGACTATAGCGAACTCTGCCTGAAGAACTCCCTCCTGAAGGAAGGAGGAGCCATCTGTGAACCATGTGTATGTTGCCTGGAGCAAGGGGCCTTCCTGTATGCGGGAGGGATGTGGAAGAAGCACCTCTAGAGTTTCAATGCATGAATGGGTAAGAGAAGAGGTGGAAGAGTTCTGAGGAATGGGGAGCAGAGCAGCCAGGTTTAAAGGTGAGTATGTGTGGAAAGTAAGACTGGGATCCTCCACCAGGGAAACCTGTAGAGATAAAAGGTGACAGGGGGGTAATAAATGTAAGCCCTTGTAGGAGAGGAGTTCCTTTAAATGATGGGGAGCCAGGATGGTTAGTGGGGCCCCAAAGGTGAGTTTTTTTTGACTCATTAATGAGTAGAGAGGCTGTGGTGGAGGCAAGAGGAAAGTTAAATTGACCCCCCCCCCCTCAGGCCTCCTATCAAGCCTACTGAGTCTGTCCTTTGTCAATGTTGTCTTCTGTGTGACCTTGGCCAGGGAGATTGCTGCTTAGGGCTTTACAATGTAGGAGAGTTCTGGGTCCTTTGTCTAGAAGTAGGGTCTCTGGAGGAATCCAGAACTTGAGTGGCATGTAGAAGCTGGGCAGGGGAGCAAGAAGAGCAAAGAGAAGGCTTAGAATGAAGAAAAGAGAAAGCCTGAACATAAGGGATTTTCTTCCATTTTCCTGAGTGCTCACAAAAATTATGAAGATTGGAAGGTTGAATTGGTCAATGGGCCTTGAGATCAGGAGCCAAATGGAGTGGGGCTAAGTGGGCAAGGAGGCAACTGAGAGGTGAGTCAGAAGGATTTATTCCCCGTGGTGAGCTGGAGTCTGGGACTGAGAGAAGGAAGTCACCTGCTACTTCCCTAGTCTGGGCTTTGCAGGTAGAGAGTCTTAGTTACCTCCCTCAGTGTCTTCACTGACTCTAAACACGCTTTCCACATACTTTGTGAGCTCTGCTGAGGAACTGAGAACCAAGATCAGAGAGTGAATTCATCAAAGAGAAGGGATTGGGAGTTCCCCATGGCGAGTTAGAGTGAACTGGCCAAGGGGAAGAGATGGGAGAGACTTGTGAGGAGGAGGGGAGCAGAAGGGCATGAAGTCACTTGCCCAAATGAGGCTGAAGTGTGGATGAAGAAGAGTGCTAGGTGAATGGAAGAAGGTGTGTGGTAATTGTCCTGGGCCCTCAGGCCAGGATCCCAAAGCAGCTCAATCCCCTGAGGGGAGAGCAAAGCTGATAGGAGAATATGATTGAGTCACTGGCATCAATGAAAGAAAAGTGACAGACTAATCACACACACACACACCTGGGATAAGAAGCAGGTTTATTGTCAGGAGCCTGACAAGGCTGCTCTGCAAAAAGAAAGGGACAGCAGCACAAGAAGGGAGAGCAGGTATTATGATTGGGCCAGAAAATGGAGGGGGTTTTTGAGACTGATGTGAATGGGCTCGTGGTTTGAGGTGACAGAAGGACTTGAAACCTCTCAGACAGTAGGGTCCACCTCAGAAGGTGGTAATGGGAAGGCACTGGCAGACGGAATAGGGGATAGTCCTAAGGTAAGGGTGAGGATCAGGAGAGTGGCAGGTGAGTCTGGATGGAAGTATATATGAGAGGACAAGGAAAGCATAGCCCCCAACTTTGAGGACGTCCCTTCCCATAAGGGGAACAGAGCACTGTGGAATGACCAAAAAGGAGTGGGTGAAAACTAGAGAGCCAAAAGCACAAACAAGGCTAGATGTTTGCAAAGACTGGTAAGGTTTGCCCTCTACCCCGACAATGGAGGTCATAGAATGAGTAGTAGGCCTCCAGAACTCCTTGAGGACTGAATATGTAGCCCTGGTGTTTAGGAGGATGGAGACAGGCCTACCTGAAATATGCAGAGTTACCCTGGGTTCCTGTTCAGTGATGGTAGTGGTCAGGTGATGGGAACCTGGGTATCACCAGTCCTCCACAGCCAGTCCTAAGAGTTTGCAAGGGGAACCAGAAGGGCTGGATGGCCGGGGACTGCTATGGGCTCAAGGACAGTCAACAGCCCAGTGTCTCTCCTGATGGCATTTAGGATAAGGACCCAGAGGCTTGTGAGGCTTGGGACATGTATGATCCCAGTGACCCATCTGACCACATTTAAAACAGGGTCTGGGCTGTCCCAAGGGACCCTTCCATGGGCCAGTGGAACTAGGGACAGATTCTGAGGCCAGACAGATAGATGGCTTGAGCAAGCATCTTATATTTCTGCTTCTGGGCCTTCTCACCCCTCCTGTTATACACCTTAAAGGCCACTCCCAGAACGCAGCTTGGGGAGTTGGGGGGTCCCTTCTGGTGCACCTTAGTTTGGCCTTAATATCAGGAAACTCTGGGAGAAAAAGTAGGTCTTTAGTAGTTGTCTCCCATCTGGAATCTCAGGGTCCAGATAAGTATATTGTAATAAAGCCTTGGTCAGGCAACCTAAAAATGCTGAAGGGTTTTCATTTTTATCTTGGATGATTTCCTGGAGCTTTAAATAATTGATAGCCTTATGGGCCACCTTTCTAAGTCCTGCCATTGTAATGCCAGATTTGTCTAACCCCAGTAGACCTCCAGGAACCGAATCCGATGCAATCACACAAGAGTCTTTATTGCAAGCTCAAGCCTGGACTCACAACCGTTTCTGACACAGCAGTCCTGAGGAGTGAGTCCTGGTACTTAGTTCAGTGAGGATTTATAGGTTTTTTGGGGATACTCTATGCTTCACAACATCACACAGCAAATCATTTCATACCACAGGAAAATCAAACAACAACTTTTAACATTGATTAGCACATTCACTGGTGGGAAAAAGTTGGTTAAGGGTGATTGGTTAGTTCAAGTGGTGGATACATTTGAACTGATTGGTTTAGGCCACGAGGGGTTGCAAGAGTGTATAGGCTAAACTGAAGGGAGGGTCACCTGGCATTTCAGATATTTTCCCTGTCTCATATTGATTGGTGGTTGCTATGGGTCCTCACCTAGCCTAACTGAGTCAGGGACACCTGGTGCTGCAGATTCCTCCTGTTAAACAACTCAGCAGGGTGGGTCTGCGCCTAGGAGCGCTCTGTGGGTTTTTCCAAGAACAAGGGTCACACCCCTCCCTCTGGACAGGCCTGAGGTAGAAGCTGGTTTCTCAAAAATGGAGTCACATCAGTTTCTCACTATGAGGCAAGTAATGAATTGGTTTCTACTAGTTATTCCTCTAGGCAAATTATACTCCCAATTGGGGTCCAGATCAGGGACCACTTCAATGCCAATTGGATGGTCAGGGGAGGTCTAATGTACCTCATCAGCATAATTTCTAGCTTGCTCCCAAACTTGCCTGCACTCCTTGTGCAGGAGGGTGTTAGACAAGCTCATACGGACATCATGGAAGATCAAATCATATGACTGGATCAGATATAGAAACTCTTTGATATATGTGGTGGGGCTTGAAGTATAGGACCCAAACTGCTTTTCTATCTGTGAAAGATCTGACAAAGAGAAAGGCACATGAACCCGGATTACACCATCTGCCCCAGCCACCTTGCTTAGAGGACACAGAGATGTGGGTTGGGCAGTAGCAGCTCATGAGCGTGTAGCAGGAGGAGAGAAGGATAGAGGGGCATAGGCAACAGTTGCTGTGGTGCCTTCATCAAAAAGAGAATTGTGGTATGGTGGGGACTCATCAGTTGGGTTGAAGGAGGAGGAGTCCTGGGTAGGATCTTATGTCCCTTTCTAAGCAGGCCTAGAAGAGGTGAGATCTAAAAGGACTTGTGCAGGAGAGCAAGATTTGCAGAGAGGGCTTAGAGGAGAATGTCTAAACATATGATATCTCTTTCTATTTTCTCAAACCCTCACAATAGTTGAAAAGGTCCCTGATAATATTGGGATCTAGAGTGCTGTTTGTAATGCCAGATTCATGGGACCCCAATAGACCTCTAGAAGCCGAATCCGATGCAATCACACAAGAGTCTTTATTGCAAGCTCAAGCCTGGACTCACAACTGTTTCTGACACAGCGGTCCTGAGGAGTGAGTTCCAACCTTGAGTTCAGTGAGATTTTATAGGTTTTGGGGGGATACTCTATGCATCACAACATCACACAGCAAATTATTCCATACCGTGGGAAAATCAAACAACAACTCTTAACATTGATTAGCACATTCACTGGTGGGAACAAGTTGGGTAGAGGTGATTGGTTAGTACAAGAGGGGGATTCCTTTGAACTGATTGGTTTAGGCCAAAAGGGAGGTACATGCTAAACTACATGGTTTCCCAACATGTTATCAACCACCATAAACTACTGGGGGGTCATCTGGCATCCCAGGTATTTTCCCTGTCTCATGCTGATTGGTGGTTGCTAGGGGGTTGCTATGGGTTCTCACCTAGCCTAACTGAGTCAGGGACAACTGGCACCACAGATCTCTCCTGTTATTTGTAGACAAACAACTTGGCAGGGTGGGTATGTGCTTAGGAGTGCTCTGTGGGTTCCCAGGACAAGGTCCACACCTCCTTCCTTAGGACAGGCCTTGAGGTAGAAGCTGGTTTCTCAAAAATGGAGTCACATCTGTTTCTCACTTAGAGATCAAAGGATATTGAGGCCAGATCTGATTGCACAAGCTGATAAGCTTTGGGGATTTAGGTCCAGGGTGAGAGAGAGATTGTAGGTTAGTCAGGAAGCAGCCTAGAGGACTATTGGAGGGAATGGATGAGGAGCCGCCCATGGTGAGATGTAGGAGGTGAGTTTAGAGGTGGGGCGTCCCTTAGTCTCTAGTATCACCCATTTGAGAGGATTGGTTATGCTCAGGGGGTTATCACCACCACTGGGTAAGCATGGGGGAAGGGCCTGTAGAGACACTTGGACACCCGGACAGAACTACATAGGGGCAGAAGCTGTAGAGATTAACCCAAGGCTGAGAGGTCTCACCAGGAGCAACTTCCAATCACCCTCAGTAGTTTTTCTCAAAACCCAGGACTCAAATGAAAGACCACCTATAGATCTGGTTGACAGTAGAGATCAGCCGCAGCTGTGGAAGCTGTTGCTGGGGGTGCCCCTGACCACATGGTAACCCTGGGAGTGCCTTGTAGGTCGTTTAGGTTGACCAGAGACAGGGATCTTACCTGAAATGTCTGATGATGGGTGCAGAAAGGGCATTCGGCAGAATGGAGGGCCTGGTACCATGATGGAATTTGGATTAGGGCCCAGGGATGCTCAGTGACCCTGGGAGAGGGGCACAAGCACACTGGTGAGCGAGGAACTGGGAGACTGGCAAATGAGAAATGAAAGTCGGAGAGCAGGCAGAGATACAGGTGAGGGTTTATTTGTATGGAGAGAGGCAACACAGGCTTGAGTGCTGGGATTTTATGGGGCAGGCTAAGGGATTAGAGCCCATCAGGTCCTAATGTGGGTCCTAATGCAGGTAGTTAAGGGTGGGGGTTTAGCTATCAAAGCACATTCCCAACCTCTTTTTATATTTTATTTAGAAACAGGTCTTCCTGAGTTGCACAGGGCCTTCTAAGTTGTTCAGGTTGCTTTTGAACTTCACTATCCACCTGCTCAGCCTTCCAAACTACTGGGATTACAGACATGAGGGAGTATGCAACACTGTATCCAGACCATTTTTCTTCTTTCTTCAGACTTCATCTGTTTAATCCATTCCTGCACTTGCAATCTTTCTCCACAGCCCAGGTATGGTGAATTTTAAAGTTTTGTTTTACTGATGCTTCTATTTGCTTGCTTCTTTTTTTTGCTTTTGTCAAAATAAGATTTTATTTTGAAAGTAATTTGAGAAACACTAATGAAGGAAGAAGACTTAAGACTCAATGGATATACATTCCAAATTTTTCTTCTTTTCAAACCCCACTGATTATCTTTGTCATGCCAAAAAGTAACTTTGTTTAGTTATATATACATTTAGCATCCTGGAGGAGAGAGCTTTTCCCATAAGCCATTTTTATTTTTCTTGTAGAGGAAAGATTTATTTCTAGGAAACAGCATATTCATTGGAGAGGTGTATTTCTTTAAAAACATCAAAGTAGAACTGATATGTTGAACAAAGTGGTGGGGTAGGGGAGTGGGAGGGCTGGCCAAAGGGGAAGTAGAAAGTGCTTATCATCTTGCCGCAACCAGAAATCCACATGTTGAAATGGCATCCAAGAATATGGGCCTATCTGACCTTGCACTGTCTTTGAATCGTAAATACTAATCATAAGGCCCCCAGCTAAAGCTTGGGCAGCTCCTTCTGGGGCCTCTATCTTGAAATGTGGATCTGTTTATCTCTGCCATAAATTATAGGAAAGTGGTTTTCATTTTCTTCCCAGTCATTAATTCTTTTTTAATATTCATGGATAGATAAGCTTTATTCAAATGTCTGCATAAATATGACTTGATGTCAAATAAGAAGAATTTTTTCCAAAGAGCTAAAATTTATGAAACAGTAAAATTCAGTGCTTCTCTTTGGTCTGCCTCTGAATTTAGGTGACCAACACATCATTATTAGTAGTCTGCACTCACTTCTCATTTTCATCACTCACATTTCTCAGATCTTTGGGTGGCATTTCCTATTTCTCTGGAAAGCTCTTAAATTGCATTTGGTGACAGAAGAACAAGGTTTTATCTGCTGATTTCTACTCCAGAGGCAAAACCACATCCCTTGATTCTCTTGTTTTAATTGTGGCTGTTTGCAAATGGTGTGCAACTGAGGAACTTAATGTTAAAAGACAAAATATGATGTAGTCTCTGTGTGCTTAAACAATAACTTCATTTTAATTTTTCATTAAAGAATTATTTTTATTATTTCTCCATACAGAAGGTATAAAAACACCTGTAAAAATATTGAAAAAGCTCTTTAAAATCTTGGATTGATGACAGGTACCTGTGAGATCAGGCAAGGTGGGCAGCGACCAAAGGAGGCAGATTTAAAAAGAATGCCCAAGGAGGCTTTATTTGAGATATCACTCTGGGTGGAACTGGATCAGACCAACAGAGTGGACAGGAGAAGGGTCTGAGGAGAAACCATATGGGAGCTTGACAGGACTGGGATTTTATGGGGCTCATGGCAGGAAGGGAAGGGTTTGGGACAGGAAAAGGGATTTTTAGGGTCCCTTGTCCAGCTGGAGTTGGTCAGGGGAGCTGGCTGAACTCCAGGATTGGCCAAGAGGTTCTACTGATTGACAGGCATTAATCAGGAGATCCCGCTGATTGACAGGAGTTCCTGTCAGCGCCTGATTGCTGTTTCTTTCCCACATGGGCTGCTTTGTTCTAAGTCACCACCTCTGACCTGACAGTACCTTCTCCGCACACGCCTATAAATCCTGAAAATTGGGAGGCTGAGGCAGGAGGA